GCAAGGTTGTGTCATCTGCACACTGCAGGTTGTTAATAAGTCTTCCTCCGTTCCTGCTGTCACATTCTTCTTCATATAATTCAGCTTGGATGATTTCCATATCGATGGAACAAGTATGGTGAGAGGATACAACCCTGACGCACACCCTCCTGACTTTAAACCATACAACGTTCCCTTGTTCTGTTCACACAACTGCGTCTGGATCCATGTACAAGTTCCTCATGAGCACAATGAAATCTTCTGGAATTCCCATTCTTCTCAAGGTTACCCATAGTTTGTTAGGATCCACACAGTTGAATGCCTTAGTTTAGTCAATAAAACACAAGTAAACAGCTTTATGGTATTCTCTGCTTTGAGCCAAGATCCATCTGACATCAGCAATGATAGCCTTTGTTCCACATTCTCTTCTGGATCCTGTCCGCACTTCTGGCAGCTCCCTGTCGATGTCCTGCTGCAACCATTCTTGGAAGAACTTCAGCAAAATTTTACTGGCGTGTTATCAGTGATATTGTTCTATAGTTTGAGCTTCCTGTTGGGTTGCATTTCTCTGGAATGTGAAAATATGGATCTCTTCCAGTTAATTGGCCAAGTAGCTGTCTTCCAAATTTCCAGGCATAAATGAGTGAGCGCTACCAGTGCTTCATCAGCTTGTTGAAACATTTCCATTGGTAGTCCATCAATTCCTGGAGCCTTGTTTTTGGCTAATGCCTTCAGTGCAGTTTGAACTTACTGCGTCAGCACCATTGGTCCTTGCTCATTTGCTACCTCCTGAAAGGGTGGAATGTCGACTAGCTCTTTTTGGCACAGTGATTGTATTCTTTGCATCTTCTTTGGATGCTTCCTGCATCATTCCATATTTTACCCATAGAATCTTTCAATATTACAGCTCGAGGCTTGAATTTTTTCTTGTTGTAAGATACGCTGAGCATCTTCTTCCCTTTTGGTTTTCTATCTCTAGGTCTTTGCACATTTCATTGTAACATTTGGCTTTGTCTTTTCGAGCTGCCCTTTGAAATTTTCCATTCAGCTCTTTAACGTCATCATTTCTCCCATTTGCTTTAGCTACTCTAAGATGAAAACAGCTTCCAGAGTCTCTTCTGACATTCACGTTGATCTTCTCTTTCTGCCTGTCTTTTTAATGACCATTGCTTCTTCATGAGTGACGTTCTTCATGTCCTCCCACAGCTTATCAAGTCTTTTGTCATTCAGGTTCAATCTGTCAAATATATTATTGAGATGTTTTCAAAATTCACCTGGGATAGACTCAAGGTCACATTTTGGCTCCTGTGGACTGGTTTGAATTTTCTTCAGCTTTATCCTAAATTTACAAACGAGCAATTGATGGTCTGTTCCACAGTCGGCCTCTGGCCTAGTTTTAGTTGCTGATATTGAGCTTCTCCATCATGTCTTCTCACAGCTGTCGTCAATTTGATTTCTATGTATTCCATTATGGGAAGGCCATGTGTATAGTTGCCTTTTGAGTTGTTGAAAAAGGTATTTGCTATGAAAAAGTCTTTGGTTTTGCAAATTCTATCTTGAGATCTCCAGCTTCATTTCTATCGCCAAAGCCATATTTTCCAACTACGGTTCCTTCCTCTTTGCTTCCAACTTTTGTGTTCCATTTGCCAATAATTATCAATGCATCTTGATTGCATGTTTGATCAATTTCTGACCGAAATCGGTGGTAGAATTCTCCCATTTCTTCATCAGTGCCTTTTGTGGTTGGTGCATAAATTTGAATAATAGTTGTATTGATTGGACTTCTTTGATGGTGGATAGATATAATTTTATCAGAGATAGCATTGTACTTCATGATGAATTGGACAGAGCCTTTTTAAACAATGATTGCCATGCCATTGCTCTTGATTGTGTCATTCCCAGCGGAGTAAGTCATATGATTTCCTGATTCAAAATGGCGAAGACCAGTCCATCCTCACTAATGCCTAGTATATTGATCTTCATGCGTTCCATTTCATTTTTGATGACTTCCAATTTCCCAAGATTTATACTTTGCACGTTCCAAATCCTGATTAGCAGACTTCCACAGCCGCTTCTCTTTACATTGAGTCGGGCCCCATCAACAAATGAAGATCCCAAGACACCACTCCCACAGGCTTTACCAGACTCACATCACCACAGTCAACTGGACTCAGAGAAAGCCACTGCTCCTCAGCCACATTTCAAGTGCATCTGACCACAGGGGCCCATCCTCCTGCATTGTCTCTGACTAAGTGCTGTTTCCATTCATTAGGCCTTTAGTATCTGACATTATTTACAAGTTGCGGGTAAGGTTTTCAGCGACTCCTTCCTCCAAAATGGGGAGCAGAGTCCTTCTTCATGGTCTTTTCTTAGCCTGGAAGCTTGCCTAAAACCTGTTCACTTTGGGTGACCCGCCTGGCATGTGAAATACCAGTGACATTGGTTCCAGCACCACAGCAACATACAAGCCATCTCTGTACAACTAACTGACAGCCAAGTGATGGGTGCAAGCTAATAGTGTGGAGCAATTCCTTCTATCCTAAGAGTGATGCTGACATCCTGAATTCTAGATCTTTTCATGGCTCCAATTTGGGAACAGGTTAGGAGCGGTTCCTGTCCTAGCTTGCTCTACTTCCACCTCTTTGTATCTTAGACCTCTAGAAAAACGACAAGAACCCCTGAGAAGCTCTCCAGCACTAGAGAAGACCTAGGCCCATTTCTCAGGGAGTGTGCTGTTTTCCTCAGCCATGCCGGGTCCCCCAGCAGGGACCTGAGTGAGCCTCTCCCCACTCCAGCTTTTATCTCCCAGACCCCCCACTGCCTGGAGGATTCACAGCTGGGAACATGCAGGTACTACCAGGCCTGCTCTGCTTCCTTCTCCAGCGTGCCTCCTCGCTCAATGGCCTTTGTGGTGTCCCCCCCCCACACACACACACACCTCCCATGCTTCTTCCTGCCTCAGGGCCTTTGCCTGGGCATCCTTTATTCTGAGTCAAATAATTTCTCAGCCCTGCCTGGCACCCCAACTCCTGGCTCCTTCACCTCACCTGCTTAATGCTTAATGGCTCCTGACCCTTCAGCTTGTTTCCCACAAGCTACATTCTCCAGGCTCAGAACCATAGCTTAATTCCACCCTCATCAAAGGCTTTGATCCTTTGATAAGGTTATAATGTGATGAGCATCCCTGGATGAATATCTCCCTTTCCCGTTAGGTTTCCAGGCCTTCACCAACAACATGGGGGCCTGAGAGTCTGGCCTGGGGCTCAGCACAGAGAGGCCCCTCATATGAGTCAACGTGCTGAGAGAATGGTAACAACTGGTGACCTCCTTTTGCCAACACCTTCCTTTTCCCTAGGGTAGATGTATGTCCTCTCCCCCTAGAAATGAGATGTGACTCACCCTCAGACAAGCTGGTCTGTGACACTAATATCCCTAAGTCCTTCAGCAGTGCCCTGGAGTAGGATGTGAAGATGTGAGGCCAGGGCAGTTGCTCATGTGCATGTGACTTCTCTATCTACTAACCCTGTCACCGGTCAGCAGCGACAGGCAGCATGACTTAGGAGTAATGTGGCCAAACCCTAAAGCATTTTCTGGCAGGAAAGGGATTGGTACCAACAGGTGACCTGGCTTTGGTGTTCCGACTCCGTTGGCCTGTCCTTTTCTCAAATAGACTTGCAAAGCTGGGTTTTACATGTCCTTGTCAACAGGGACTCTGTTAGACACCCAGGGAGGTCACCAAATGGTAGGTATCAGGGGGTCTGGAAAGGATCCAGCCCAAGGGCACTGATCAAGTAAGCGGTGAGGTCCTGTCTCTCCCAAGGAGAGGAGATGGAAAGGGGACAGGCCAGTTGTAACCGAGCCCCAGTTGACTGAGGAAATGACAAAGGAACAGACCAGCAAGGGTTGAGGCTGGCTTTGGTGGAAGCGTTTCAGCCGTAGTCAGAACCTAGGGATTTGAGACCGAGCCAGAGTGAACCCCAAAAGAGTTGTCCTATTAGGGAAAGCTCAGCTGCCATTTATGGTCCCTCATGGGTTCCAAATCTGTGTAAATCCTCCGGGTATTCATTCATTTCTATTTCGTGATTTGGGGTATTGAGACCCACCCTGTATTAAAATAGTTAAATCACCCAGGGTTATTGCTGAAAGGAGCCTTTAGCCTTCTGTCTCCCTTAAGTCACACATCAGAAATCTGAGGCTCTGGGCTGCGAGTGTCAGGGGCAGGGTTGAGACTCCTGATCATCATCCATGGCTCTTCTGATAAGTAAGTACCCACCACCCCAAGGTTTGGGGTTTGTAAGGAAGTCCCTGGGGCCCTACCCAGGCTTGGGGCAATCAGCGTCTTCCCAACTGCCTCCTCCTCCCTCCCTCTCCCCCACATCTCCACTCTGTGCAGGCGTCCACACGGCAGGCCAGGCCTCGCACTTGCGGGAGGTTTCTGCCTGTGCCTGACCTCCTACTGGAGGCCTAATAAGCTCAGTTTCCTGGGAGCTCGCTGCGAGCAGAGCCGGGTGCCAAGCTGCCCAGTGGTTCTAATCGCCATTTGCACAGAAGGAAACTGAGGTTCAAGAGGGGCGTTCTGTAATTCGTCCTAGGCCACGGCGGCGGCGCGGGTGGAGTTGCAGACCTGAGATAGAAATCTGAACATTACAATTTGCCTTTGGACACTCTGGGAAGACGGGCGCAAGGAGCCCCTGGGCCGCGAGCCCTGCTGGAACGAAGCCTGGTCTGGAAAAGAGGGGAGGGGAGGGCTTGGGAAGGGAGTCGGGGGAGGGCTGTGGGAGGCGCGAAGGCCTTGCCGCCAGCACCCCACCTGGCTTTCACTGAAAATGACAGCCACCACCAGAGCTGGCTCCCGCGCCTACGACATAGCCATTCATGCTTTCCGTTCGTTCCTCCCTTATTAACGTGGGGTGCTGTGTCTGGCGATTCGCTCGGGTTTCTCCCCGCGGCCCCCGTTTACTCTCTCGCAGACACACGCCCGCCCCGGCGTCCTGTTCGTCCCGCTCCCTTCCCTCCCGCAGCGCCAGAGGCGGCCCGAGCAGCACCCCCGGCGGGCGCACGCCGCGCGCCCTCGCAGCCGGCCTCCTGTTGCTTCTCCCCAGCCTCCCGCCCTAGGAGAGCATCCTCGCGCCGTCGTCCGCCGCGCGAGCTCCGGAGGGGGCTGCACGCACGCACACGACCAAGCGGCCACGGGATCCTAGCGCCGCAGGCCGCGCCCCCAGGCCGGGAGGCGGGAAACCGCGGAGGCCGCGCCCACCGCCCGCCCCCAGCCCAGCCACTCCCGGCGCCTCCGGACTCGGCGCGTCTTCGCGGGTTCGTCTCCGAGGAGTGTCGACCTGCGCAGGTAAGGAGCTGGGAAGGGGAGCCCAGCTGGCATCTTCTTGGAAGGATGGCCAGAGACTCGCGGGCGGGACCCGATCCCCGGGGGCGCGGGGAGCAGTAGTCCGTGGCCGCAGGCGTGTCGGGTGGCCCTTTCCTGGGGAGCGAAGCTGCCTCCCCGACCCCTCCGTCGGCAGCTGGAGTCGAGTTTGGGGGTGTAAACAAGGGGGTGGGCGTTGGAAGGGACGCGGGGCGGGGGCGCTCTGGAGGGAGAAGCAGGAAACGCCTGGCTGGGGCTGGAGTTGGGGCTGTGGTTTGGGGAGAATGACAAGGGCGGTTCCCACCATGTTTTTATCCGAAGGGTGGCCTTCCTTTGTTACTTGGAGGCCGCTGAGCGGGGCGCGCGAGCATGGTGTGAGGGCGAGGGTGTGCACGCACGAGAGCAGGGCGACGCGGGAAGCGCTGGGTTGGTGCTTTGGGGGCGGGGGCTGGGCAGAGGGCGCGGAGGTGGGAACTGGAGCGCCAGCACTTAAGCTTGACGGGCAGATCGACGACATGTTTTCCCTCTTGTTTTCTTTGAGGGAGTGGTGGTGAGGATGGGGACATCCGGATTCCCTATTCTCGCCATGCCCCGTCTGCCCCCTCTGCCCCAGCAGGCCGGGCTCTAATGCAGGAGCCCTGTCTCCCCACTGTGCCCGGCTCCTTGGGCTTCGATGGAGAGTTGGTGCGCAGCGCGGTCTTCTCACACGGAAGGGTGGGAGCAGGGAGCTGCCACCCCAGAGAAAACGAGCCTGCCCTGCCCTGTCCCCTGCTGCCAGCCTGCCAGTGTGGGGGCTATGGCTGCTGGAGGCTGCGCTGCAAATGTGGCCTCGGTGTCCACCTCCTTTGTCACCTTGGCTTTGTGCTCCCCGGCGGGGCCGGGGTGTTCACGTTGGCAGCCCACTCAGTCTCCGAGAGGGCCCCCACTCAGTCTCCGAGAGGGCCCCCACTCGGGCCCAGCCGCCCTCGCAGTGCTGGTGTCTGGATGTGTATGTATGTATGTATGGCTGCTTCCGCAACTTAGCCCTTTGCATGTGACCTGCCTGGCAGTTGCCATGGCAACGCCTCTTTACGGCTCAGCCTCCCTCCTGTTCTAGCCCATTCCTCACCTCTAGCTCCCCTTCCCTCCCCTCCCCCCAATATGGTTGCCTAGATAACGGTGGTCCTGGCTTCTCTGCATTGGAGACCCTGATTCTCCAGCTCTCACCCTAACCTGCTCTGGCCCTGTACCCACCCCCACACACATACACAGTGCATCACACGCACACTAACGCACTCTTGCACACGCCCCCACACATATGCATGCACACCATAATACCCACACTTTGTAAACACACCCTCACACAATCCTACACACACACACACACACACACACATTCTACTTAACACATGCACTCCATCAACACAACCTCACACTGATCACACCACTTATACAATGCCCCCGGAACACACATCCAAACACTATATACATACGTCATCCCACATTCACACCACCCACAATGCTACACACACTCCTGCCTACAGCATTCCTTGTGTGTTCTCACACACTGCCAGTATAACACACATCATCCATCCTCTCCCTCAACACACACCTCTTCTTCCCTCTAACCAGGTTTCAGGCTGACGAAGCTGAAGCCAGAGGGCGTTTCCTGCCTTACCTGCCTCTGTGCGCTCTGGGTGCACAGGGGTAGATGCACATCTCTTGGGAGCCTTGTAGAGGAAGTTGGAGGAAAAGGTGCTTGTAGACTCCCTCAAAAGTGGAAACCCTCCCCTAGGTGCCAGTCTCAAGGGAGCAGGCATGGACCCAATTTGAAATCTCCCCATAGCTGCCAGATGCAATGGGCCAAGCACAGTGATAGCCGTGCAGACGGGTCGGCCCTGGGCCTCGTGTCCTCCTGTCACACAGAAGCCCCCTGTGTGGGAACTGAGTCCAACAACAGCATTGCTCCCTCCCTTCCTGATCCCGAGACAGCCAGTGTCGGCTCCTGACCCTTAGATGGAATCCAGCCTCCCTCACAGAGACTCAGCCAGGCCCCCCGGGATGATTGGGTACCGGGAGGAGGGGGAGCTGCGAGCATCCATAAAGCAAGGAAAGGAAGGCTGGCGCTGGGAGGGAAGGGCTGAGGAGGAAGAAAAAGCCATACGGAGGTCCCCGTGAACTACCACAGTAGAAGTGGGCTGTCTGCTGTATCTGGGGTGGAGGGCACCCACTCTCCCCCAGGCACATCGTCCTGCCTCCAGATCCAACATCTAAGACAGGAAGGGGTGTTTGCCAAGGGCTCCTGCGTGGTCAGTGCTCTCCCAAGACTTCTGCGGTGGTCTGATGGTAGATTTCCTTCCAGTCTCCATATGATCTTCAACAGAATCTTTTGAAGGAAGCACTCGACTGCTAACCAGGCAGGCCTCCTGGAAAATCAAGACATTGAACCCGATGGAGCACACAGTTCGACTCTGATACGGAGGCCGCCGGCATGAGTTGGAAATGACTTGAGGCTCATTGCTTTGTGTGCTAGAGACATGAAGGGGACGAGGGAAATACAGCCCCAGGAGCTTTCAGAGAGCATACAGTCAGGACAGTGTAGATGGGGAGACTGAGGCTCAAAGGCCACATGGCAGTAGAGGCTGAGGCCAGTGGTTTGGACCCTACACTGCCTGTTCTATAACAGTCTTGTCTGTGTGACCATCAGCCCTCTGGAGAGCAAGATGTTCCTTATAAAGTGGACAGAGACTGTCAGAACACCTACACCCTTCTGTTTGCTCCGCAGGTGAGGCTGGAGGGTGCCGAGGCCAGGAGATGGGGGAGGAAAAGCTCTCCAGAACCCCAGGCCTTTGGAAAGTCAGTCGGCCTAGACCCACCCCTCCCCACCCCCCATTAATCAGAACATACACTCTCCCCTCCCCTAGCACTGCAGAATTTAGTCTGCTGCCATCTGGAGGGCAGGCCATGCCAGGCGGCCCCTAGGACACTAACACTCATTAGCTCCTGCCCTAGTGCCCTGGGGCAGGGGCTGGGGAGGTGGGGGGGACGACTAACACTTGAAAGGCATCACCTGCAGGAGGCAGAGTGCATTTGGGCTGGGAGGCTCAGGGACAGGTTCTAGTGGAAAGGCAAGTGCGTTCATTCCACACAAACCTTTTTGGCAAGTCCCTGGGCCAGCAGACTGGAGTTTGTGCTTAGCATCTGGGCCACCAGGACTTTAGGCCTCAGTGTCCACATCTGGCAAGTGAGGCTTTTAAACTCTATGATTTCTAAGACACTCTTGCTCCAGATGTTTATGTCTGATACTGCCGTGAAAGATTCCCTTTTCTCTCCAAGTATGGAATTATTCTTACTGTTTCCAAATATGTGGCCCACAGCTGAACTGAGCAGGAAATGGGCTGGTCTCTGGTTCCTGCTGAGAAGTAACACAGCCCAAGAAGCTGAGAGCAGGGTTTCTTCCCCATGGCCTGGGGCCTAGTCCTTCTTGTATGCCATTGTCTATTCAGCCCAGCTGTCAACTGGAACTAGGTAGACTGTGTTGGCTGTCTGTCCCCCCACGGCCACCTTGCTCAGAGCTCAGAAAAGCAGGACAAAGACTTGGAACTAATTTTGTAACACATTCCTCTTCTGGAATGGGTGGGAGGCCCTGACCTGGGAAACTATGTCCCCAGCTTAGAGGACACACAGATGCGAGCTTGTTACAAACCTATGCTGGGAACGGGAGGCCCAGGAAGGGGACTGGGGTCACGTGGACAAGGCTGGGGCCGTGGGGGTGCCAGGATGGAGAGGAACAAGCAGGAGAGGTGTCACACTGGGGTGACTGTGGTAGTCTCACAGTTACTGTCCAGCTCCACCCCGCTGGAGGGCAGAGCCAAACTTAGTTGAGATGCCAGGCCTCCAACCCAGCATTCATCCTTTCCGTAAATACTGACTAGTCTCTCCTTTGTGCCAGGCCCGGGGCCTCCCGTTGGAGCCTTCCTGCTGAGAGAGTTGAGCTGCCCTGTCTCCCTGCTGCCCTCATGTCCACAGCTCCCTTGGGATCAGGGCTGGAAGCTCCACCCCCACCAGGAAGGCCCTTTGGCCTCTTCATCAGGAACCCCCCTGTCTGTGCACTCAGCCTGCACTCGCGCCCCATTTTTCACACATACCTCATCTGGCAGGCAGGCACCTGCTCCCAGGCTCCCACACCTTCACATCGCACTCAGCCGTAGGCCCTCCCCCTCGTACTGTCCCTCAGACCATTGGGCTGGTCCCCCAGCATCCATCCTCTCAGCGCCAAGCTCCCAGGTCCAGCCATGCCCCCCCTTGCCTCAGACTCCACCCCTGGTTCTCCACAAGATGGTCAAGAGCCTGACTACTAACTAAAAGGTTCAGAGTTTGAACGCACCAGTCACTCTGTGGGAGTAAGATGAGGTAGCCTGTTTCCATAAAGACGTGCAGCCTTGGAAACCCTGTGGGGCACTTCTGCTCTGCACCTCACTGTGATGGCAGGAGTTTGGGGCTCACCACGGCCTGCGAATCAGGATGGGTGCCTGCGAGGAACACCCAGAGCTCTGAAATCTGGCTGCATGGACCTTCCTTTTCAGCTACCTTCTCCTGTGGTCATTGCAGTCTTTGTTTTCCTACCCTCTGCCTGTGCTCAAGGGGCCCTGGTGGTATAGTGGTTACACATTGGGCTGCTAACTGCAAGGTCAGCAGTTTGAAACCACCAGCCGCTCCGAGGCAGAAAGATGAAGCTTTCTACTCCTGTAAAGAGTCACAGTCTCAGGAACCCACAGGGGCAGTTCTACCCTGTCCTGTAGGGCCACGGTGAGTTGGCATCAATGGGTTAAGCATCGGGCAGCTAACTGCAATGTTGGTAGTTCAAACCCAACAAACGCTCCTTGGGAGAAAGATGAGGCGCTCTGCTTCTGTAAGGAGCTACAGTCTCAGACAGCCTCTTGGAGAGCAGGGTTGCTGTGTCCTACAGAACTGCCTCGCTGGCAGGAGGGTTGGCTGTGCTCAGG